CCCCCTCTCCCTGATTGCAAAAAGCATTATTATATTTTTTTTAAAGCCACACACTAGACTCGAAGATATGCATCGCTATAAAGTGAAGCTAAGGAGAAAAAGGAAAAAGGCGGGCTAAGGCAGGATTTAGCTCTACTCCTGGGATTGGCCGCGAAGTCCTAGGTACCTGCATAGAAAAGAGAGAAAACAATCGGACGGCGGTTTTAAAACTGTCCTAGGCGCCAACCCTGCCCCGCTCCTGCGTCGCTCCTGGCCGTGTGCAGCATTTCCCCTCCCCAATCTCCTTGCTAGGCTCTCTAAGTAGCCTTCTGAGCATCTTTAGTCTCGGATACCCGCTAGCCAACACGGGGTTTCCTGTAGGTTATAAGCGGCTTGTGCATGGCGGTAGGCCTGGCTCTCTCTTGGCTCCGGGAGAAAAACCAAGATACAAAGCCCGGGAGCAGACTCCTCACGCAATCCCCCCACTCACCCCCATCCCCACCTCCCCACCCCCACACACACCCTGCTCTGGAAGGCTGGGGCCCACCCGCGGTCTCCCTTCTCTGTAATGGGTTCTGGAGGCTCCTTTTAAGATCTTCAGGATACTCACAAGACTGGCTTTCGCTTTCTAGTTCCCCACCCTTCTGCGACTGTTCCTCAAGCCAGCTCTTTCTTTAGGAGTTTCTCAAACCACTTCTTTATCCTGACCATACCCCCTCAGCTATGGTATGCAAGCCTACTTACTGAAAACAGGTTTCCTCCCACATGTGCCCTGAAAGAGAGGTTCACCTGGATGGAAGGGGGGGGCATCAAACTAGGACCCACCCCGAGCCTTCCTCTTCTGGCTTGCAGCTTGGAATCTAATCCAGTCAACACTCTAACTTCCAAGGGCCAGAATGAGACTGATGCGCACTTTTTCCAGTCGAAACAGGATCTATTCTAATATCGTCTAAACCATGCTTTCACACTAAACATTTGTGTTATTTTCGTATTCTGCTTTTTAAATTAAAATATTTTCTCCTTAGCAAATGAAAGCCTTTAAGCCTGACATTTTATGTACGGGTGGGTTGTGTAGAGACGATGGGATCCAAGAAAAGCTTCCTGGTTGCTGAAGGTTTTGAAAGGAAAAGGAGGCTTTTACTGATGTGTGCTTTAATCATGTCTCCAAGAAGAAGTGGGACACTTAGGTTTTATTAACTATGTGTATACACCGCTTGCGCGGTGCTCACAGAAGCTACAGACATTGAATCCCCTGGAGCCGAAACTGCAGGCTGATATAAGCTGCCTGAAGTAGGTGCTGGGAATCAAATTCTGGAAGAGCAGAGCACTCTTAACAGCTGGGCCACATCCAGCCCAAAAATGTAACCTTGGGAAGATGGGAAAGGACGGAGCCTCCTCTCTTTGGAGGGGATCACCCTCAAAAACGCCCTGGAGAGGGCCTAGAAAACTTTCCATTGCGAAGGCCAAGGTTTACAAATTTGCTGCGTAGGAGCTGAAGGACAGGGTGTAGAGTAACTTGGCTTAGAAACTGGAATCATTTCACCAGGCAGGGTTAAGAAGCTGCAATACCGTGGCATGACAGCGAGGCTCTGCTACTACTGCTCTACCGATGTGTGCAGAACCGAATGCTAGACTGGGCCCTCCTGCCCTCCTGGTACCCAGCCTAGGCCTTGAGCAGGAATAAGTGGGTGGGTAAAATGGGAATTTATGGGACAGTGTCCATGTTCTCAGGCTCATTTGGATTGCATCTTCTTTTTCTGGGTTTGAGAAGCCCTTAGACCAGCCATGCTCACCTGGGCGTGCCTAAGCAGAAGCTATGCCTGTCGACCTGGGCGACGTTCTCCGCGGAACTCAAATACCGCACGACGTCGTGATGTCCCCGCTCCACGGCCAAGTCGAGCGGCAGGCGACCCCAGGCATCGCGCACATCTAGACGCGCCCCTGCCTGGTGCAACACCACCAGCGTGTCCAGGAAGCCCTCCCGCGCTGCGTCGTGCACCGGTCGAGAGAGGGTGGTAGGGTCGGCGCAGTTCGATTCTGCACCGTAGAAGAGCAGCAGAGCTGCTACTTGGACGTTGCCCATCATCATCACCTGAAAAGTCAGAAGAAAGAGTAGAGGGATCACAGCCAGAGTGAAGGCAGGACCCAAAAGAGAAGCCGTACTTAAGAAGCCTCCTTGTTAACTACCCGGATCAGACATCCACAGTCAGGAGGTTCTACCCCTTAAAGGCTCCCAGTCCCGCCTCGGAATTCTTCTTACACACAGGTTAACAGTGTATTTCCTAAGATTTACTGATGCTCAAACCCTTGTAGAACATCGCCAGGGACATAGACACACCGCACTTGACTTATTTGAGACGAACTGGGATTGTGTGGAAATTACTAAAAAGTGGTTGGGAAAAAAAAAAGACAACCAGAATTCTCATAAATTTTTTGTTAACCTTGTCTTCCTGTAATGTTATACTTCAATCCCTTTAAGTATAAAATAAGAAAGCTTGTCCCTGAAATAATAATGTCCCCTTCACATCTTTAATTATTGGTCCTTTGAACTGTGACTAGAGAGGAAAGTCATAGCACTATATTAAGGCTCTTGAGGCACATTATCCAAGTGTGCAAACCCAGGCTCCCTGAATTCCCATCCACTCTAGCCTATCAGAATATGTTCAAGGGTTCCATAGATGTCTTGTCACAGAGAAGATATAAGCAGGGACACAGAGGTCAGAAAGAAGATGTGGGCATCCTGGGCCAATGATAGCCACTAAGCTAGGAAAAAGAAAGCCCATTCTGGCTTTTAGCCTTCTAAAGGAATGAATCCCTCTGGATTCATTTTAGACATCCGGCTCCTATAATTACATAATGATAACTTTGTGTTTGTTTTAGTCATTAAATGTGTGCTAACTGGCTCCTTTGGTGGAATGCTTGCCTGGTGTTTTAGTTTTCTTTATATTGCTGCTATAGAGACCATGAGCAAAAATATCCTGGGGAAGAAAGGGTATCACAGTTCATCACTGAGGGAAGGCAGGTCAGGAATCTAAGCGGTACAGGAACCTGCAGGGAGGAACTGAAGCAGACAATGGAGGGATGCTCTCAATGGCTTGCTCAGCTTGCTTTTTTTGCAAACCAACTAAGGGTCGCATTGCCCACACTGAGTTGGATCCTCCCACATCAATCAGAAATCAAGAAAATGACCCCCCCCCAGGACTTGCCTACAGGCCAATATGGTGGATATATTTTCTTAATTAAGGTACCCTCTTTCCAAATTATTCTAGTTTCTCATGTTGACTGTAAAAGCACCTATAAGACCTAGCATATGAAAGAAACTCCAACACTGCATGAACCCTGCATACCTGTATTCTCAGCACCCAGTAAGTAGAGGCAGGGGGATCAGAATTTCAAAGCTACCCTTAGCTAAGGTTCATGTTGGAAGCCAGACTACACTGCACGAGATCCCCCCTGTCTCTTACAAACTAAAAGAGGGGAGGTGGGGAAGGACTAGGAGGGAGACTGTAATCAGGATTTGTTATATGAGAAAAATCTATTTTACATAAAAGGAAAATTTATAATTTGTTAGAACAGTAATAAGAAAACAAAACACTCCTCAAGTTTAAATTTTGAAAGGCTAGCTTTGTGGAAAATATCATCCTGAGTGAGGTGACCCAATCTCAAAAGAACATACAAGGTATGCACTCACTGATAAGTGGATATTAGCAGAAAAGCTCACAATACCTAAGACACAACACATAGACCACATGAAACTCAAGAAGAAGGAAGACCAAAGTGTGGGTGCTTTGGTCCTTTCTAGAAGGAGTATCAAAAGATTCAACCAGAGCTCCCAAAGTCTAAACCTCCAGCCCAAGAGCACAAAGAGAGGGACTCATGTCTCCACCTGTATAGGTAATTGAGGGTAGCCTGGTCAGACATCAGTGAAAGTGGAGGGCCATGGTCATGGTCATGAAAGTCTGGATTCCCTAGTGTTGGGGAATTCGAGAGCAGGGAGATGGGACTGGGAGGCTGTTTGGAGCACACCCTCATAAAAAAAGGAGGAGGGGGTATGGGATAAGGAATTTTGGGGGAGAATGGGAGAGGAGATAACATTGAAAGGTAAATACGTAAAATACTCATTTTAAAAAAAACAGATAAAGGGTCTGAAAAAAAAAGAGAGAGCTTACTTAATTCATATTATTTTCAAAAGTCTCTAGGAGATGCTAACTGGCTAAGATCTTATTTTAAGCTCTCCACTAAAGAATTTAAGTCTCTGTTTAATATTCTCAAGAGAGATGTAAATCCTAATTTCTCTCAACAATTAATTGACAAAAGAGAAGTAATCTCACAAAAAGTAGAAGAAGCTATGACTAATCGATATATTATATGGTCTGATTAGTTGTTGGCTGTGCTATAACAGTCCTTTAATAAAAGAGATTATTAATATAAAAAAGACATATCTTATGAAAAATGTATTGGTATAGATTATTGGTTTAGATAATTTTGCTACGTTTAGTAAAATGCTATTTTTCAAGGTTACATAGGGTAGATGTACATAGTGGAAGACGGGGACTAGTGGGGGTAAATACACCCAGCACTCTCTGTTCTTGCTCCTCCCTGCATTCCGTCTACCATGAGAGGAGTTGTTCTTCCCTTTGCTATTCCCTTCAACTATGATGTCTCCTCTCACACAGGCCTGGGAGCAAGGGAACCCCTGACCCCAGACTGGTAAACGCTACCTTTAAGTCATTTCTGTCTGATATTTTCCACAGTAATAAAATAGCTGATGTCTATAAAAAAAATGAAAGAAAGGCTAGCTTTGGACTGTCAATCCTCCTAGCACAATCCTCTTTCCAAGTAACTGTGATTACAGGTCTGCTCTTGATTCCAAGGCTACAAAGAAAACCCCTCTCAACAACAACAACAACAACAACAACAACAAATAAAGCCATTCCCATTAAGGACTGGGCTGGACTCAACACCATGCTTCGTGCATGAGAAGCAAAAGCTCAACCTTCTTAGCTCCCTCCATCTACCAGAGAGTCATTTTGAAATGGAATTCACAATCACCACAAAGATGCATAACTATTTGTTATGAGTACGGACTCCAGTTCTGGGGGATCTCATACTTTCTGGCCTTGGGTGGACATCAGACATGCATGTGTTGCAGATACACATTCAGGTAAAACACCTATACACAAATAATAATAAAGAATAATAAAGAAGCCAACTATATAAGTAGTAGTTCTGCTGCTCAACTGGGAGCTTGACTTGAGGCTGGAAGTCATGCTCACAGTAGCAATGGGAATGGTAACTTCAAGTCACCTGATTGCAGTTTCAAAACATGAATAAGGTCATATTGTAGTAACTGTCACATAAAATTTTTTCCAAGTTGTTTGACTTACAATGGCAACTTTTAAAGGCTCTTTTAGGGTATACAAGATGGCTCTGCATATAAAAGGCTTTGCTGAAAAGCCTGACTGTCCATTTTCCAGACTTATATGGTGGGAAGAGGGAACTACATCCCACAAGTTGTCCACTGACCGGCACACACAGCACCCTTTCAACTAAATAAATAAATCGGTGCAATAAAAAATGTAAAACTCTGTAAAGTTGACTTGGCAATAAAATAGGCAGAATTTGCTTTGGAGAAAATAAGAAAGCCCCAAGCACCTCTTTGTACAGAGAACCCACAGTTTTTGAACTAATTTTATCTAGGGCTAAGAATAAAGAAACTTATGTTCATACTAGAATAAACTTGACCATAGGCTTGGAATCTGTACCTCGACTACAGGACTTTAAGGACAATGTTATGCTAATGTAATTGAGGCATTGTTACTTTTGCCCAGTGTATGTATAATAACGATCAAGCTCTGGCAAGTAGCCTCTGGAACAAGTCTTACTCTTATGCTACTGCTTTTGTTTACCCACAGCTTCAGCTGCTATCTCCTCCTCTCCTGTTGAAAGTTTTAGCCTCAGGAGTCTTTCAAGAATCATATTAGCAACAACAGTCTTGAATACAACATTACAAAAAAACAAACAAACAAACAATCCACATGGATGGCCAAGAAGTTTGCCACTAGAATAAGCTTGAAGAGTGGACCTTGATAAGCCTTCAGGAACCTTCGGCTCCCAAGAGGAACATTTAATCAATTTGCTCTCTCAACTTGGTCATCCTTTTGGAGTCACCACCCAACCTCCCTCCATCCCTCCCCCTTCCTTTCTCTCTCACCCCCATCTTTCCCTCCCCCCTCTCATGTGTGTGTGTGTGTGTGTGTGTGTGTGTCTGTGTGTGTGTCCAAGTGTAGAGGGCTGAAGTGTCATCACCTCATCCAACATAGTTTTTGTTGGCCACAGATTGCTTTGCAACTTCAAACATCTCATATTCAGTGCTGTTGGAGTGGAGGAGAGAGAGAAGGCAGTGGACACAGTCACTCAGCATTTTGTGTGATTTTAAATATAAATTTCTCTATCTATCTATCTATCTATCTATCTATCCATCTATTTATCTATCTATCTATACACACACACACACATATATATAATCAATTGCACTAGTATTGCTGAATCATTCTCTGAAGAAAGTAAAACTAACTTAGGTTTCAGGAAAACTGTAAGGGAAATACAGAAAGGAGAATGTAACACTATTGTGTGCACCACATGTGTGTTGAAGACCTCCATCTTGCTCATAAAATTGGTTTTAAAAATTGCTCACATCTTTTATTGTATGGAAAAGATGAAACGGCAAAATAAAATGAATACTAAATCTTTTTAAGAAAGTATCTTGAATTTTTGTTGCTTTTTCCCTTTTTTTTCTCTTCCTTTTTGGGGGAGGCATTTCTATACAGGGTTTTCTCTGTATAGGTCATCCCTGCTGATCTAAAGCTGAAAGATTACTCTGCCTCTGTCTCCTGATTCTGGGATTAAAGAGGTGTATACCTTCATAGCCCTGCTTTTTTCCTTTCCTTTCCTTTCCTTTCCTTTCCTTTCCTTTCCTTTCCTTCCCTCTCTCCCCCCTCTTTCAACTAAGTATTTCCGTCTCAAACACTAAGTTGTTTATGGTTCTGAACCATACTTTCCCCCTTACTAAATAGTTATTAAAACTATCAACCTGACTTTCTTTTACTTATCTGCATTCAATAAATAAGGTCCTCTCGTACATATTTTAGGACTCCAAGGGCAAACTCCTCAGCCACTGGTAACACTCCAAATGCTAAACTGTAGACTACAGACACACTATTTTAAAGGGCTCACATTTATCTTGTACGACCACCCAACCTGTCTAGAATCTAAAATGTTTCCATCCTTGACTTGCAAGTGATCTCAAGGTCCGAAACTCGTTTATTTATTTTTATTCTGTAATTTAAAGTGTGTAAAATAGATTCTATGTTGCAGCTTCAGAAGGCACAGTCCAGCCTTTTTAGTCAAGTTCCAACTGGTGTTACTTTTCTTCACCTTATTATGCACAGGCTTCTGGAATGCACATTTGTTTCACAGGAATTTTCTTTGTTAAAGTTAGAAACGATGGTTACGCATAGATATTACTTGGGCTCCTTTTAGGTTGAAACTTAGTAAGCTGGTAAAAGCAAAAGCAGAACTAACCTACTGACAGTAAATGGGAGAAATAAGAATTCTCAATAATAAGACATTGAAAACTCGATGCCAAAATGGTTACACTGTAACAAGTTAGTTTAATGGGGGACGGGGAGGGCAGCAGCAACAACAAAAACAAACAAAAAATCTGGGGGATGCATTTCAAATGGTAATTGAATGTTAGCTCTTTCTGAACTAAAGTTATCCCAGTGCAGATGAGATACTCCTTGCCTACCTGAATCGGGGTACGACCAAAAGAGTTCGGGGCGTTGGGCGAAGCCCCGGCTTCCAGCAGTGCCCGCACCTCGTGCTCACGGCCCTGAGCCGCCGCCCTGGCTAGTCTGTCTGCAGAGGGCTCCATGCTGCTCCAGATCGCTCTCCCCGAGTCTGCCTTCCTCGCGGAGATCCAGTGCCCGCCCAGTCGCCCAGTCGTGTGACCAGTGGGGCCCTCCTTCCTTCCTCTGAGGATGGGGGGCGAACCACGCTCTGCTCCTGACCTAGCTCCACAGCCCGCTATAGGTGGCGCTATTTGCCCTGAATTTAGCATGAATTGGACATCCCTGAAGCCACTGTTGCCCACCCCCGGGATCGGGGAAGGGGATGGAGCATGGACTGTGGAGAGCTGGGGGTTGAAGCAGCGCTAAAGGATCGGACAGCCCCCACCTGCTACCCAAGCTGACACCCCTCCCCCATTCCTGGCCACCCCTTGGGTTCCTTCCGGGCGGGTACACCAACGAAGCACACACGTGTCTTTTGAGAAAGTGAACTAGCCCATTTTCCACCAGCTCGAAATCTCTCCTTCCTCCCCAGTGCAACATCCAGGTTTTAGAAAAACGAAGGAGAGTAATTTTCATCGCCAAATTGAAACTTAAGGTATTTAACCTCTTAGAAAAAATGGTGTCCTCTTTACTCAGAAGAAAGAGTTACATCCTTGCCAAGCTGAGATCCCAACAACCCTAGCTTAAACAACTCATTTTGGAGGATACTACACCCAGTATGAAACCTGAATCTTGGCGAGGGATTTTTCAGAAACATTTCTGATGCTGCGGTATATCAGTGCTAGGATTCTGTACAAAATGTAAAAAGGTGAGGGGGTGAATTCATCGGACGGCAATCTGTTTATAAAGTATTTCTATTCTATGGGGGCTGTTGTAAGTTTGATTGTGTTGATATGCTGCGCATAAACGTTAGGAACTACTGCATATCCAATTGCACACGTTTAAATTGTTCATTAGAAACTTGCAATCTTGTGAGGCAGGAAGAACACGCTTTGAGCAGAATTACCAGTACTAGACAAAAGGGAAGATTAAATAAGGCAGTCCTCACTGGAAAGGCAATGGCCCTTTTTTCCACTCCTGGAACTCAACAAAAACTCAGAGAGCTCTGCCTGCTTTCTGCCTCCTGAGTGCCAGAATTAAAGGCCTGGCATTATTTCCTGTAGATTTTTAAAATAATTTTCTCTCTCCATATTCTTTATACGGCCGGCCACAGCTATTTTGACTTCACATATGTGTGTGGTGAGAATGTCAATCATCCTGTGGGCACAAAACTACAGAGACAGAGAACCGACCCCTCATTTTCCAGCTCCACGAATTCAAATGTGTGTGTGTGTGTGTGTGTGTGTGTGAGAGAGAGAGAGAGAGAGAGAGAGAGAGAGTGTGTGTGTGTGTGTGTGTGTCTCACCTTATACCCCAGGTTGGCCCTGCTTCAGCCTCTCCAACTGCTGGGAATATAGGCTACTACCAAGCAAGCTGGGTTTAGTTTAAATAAACTATGTAAATTTTCTGAGGCTTTGTTCTCTCTCCTCAGGTTTAAGTAAATTATGTAAACTTCTTGAGGTCTGTAAAGAAAATAAAATTTACCTAGAAAAGGTCATTTTGGGGAGAAATGGATAGTCTGTGAAGATCCAGGTATATAGTGGGTTTTCAATAAATACAAATTATTATTTTGGAACACATACATGTTCTCTCATGTTAATGATGAAGGCCATTAATGTCAATTTCCTCTTTACCCTTATTCATAACTGTATATTCCTGCAGAAGTTATAAGGACCTATAGGTAAACTCCCTTCTAATAGCTGTGATTCCCTTTTTGGGGATTCAACCATCTAAAGGGATCACTGTGGTCACAAAAGTACCTGTGTTCTAAAAAAAATAACATTCCGAGAAAAACTAGTTATTAGATTATGGAAAGTGATTCTGAGGTGAGTCACTGTATCCAATGCTTCCTCTGCTCTGTAGCCTACCACTTTTCCTTTGAGTGTATTTCAAGTGAAAATTCATAACCGATGTTCACCCTGGGAAAACTAGGCTAAACAGGGGAACCAAGAGTTTATCACTGATACTGGTTTACACCTACCCCCTTTATAAAGTCCCTTATGGAGTAGATTTTTCTTTAAAAACAAGTGTTGCCCTCTGATTGCTAACTGGAAGGAAGAATGGTGTGTTCTGCATTTGTGTGTCTGGAATTCCAATTCTGGATAACTCCTTCAAAGGAGTTATGAGTTATCATAAATGACTCAAAAATATTAACTTTCACATTCCAGAAATTTTGAGGGGTTTAAAAATGGCTTCAATACCCCCCACACACTTTTAAAGCAATATTTAAAAACTTTTTGTGAGTAAGTTGCAGGGGTTAGAAGTCCAATAATCACCAGTGCTTTCTGTAGAAATCACTATACCAGGTCACTGAAATTGTTTGAGATCAAAGATAGATTAATAACAATACTTTTGGTTTTCACAACTACACTGATTTTCTACTACAGAAAATTATAGATATTATTATCCAGATAGTACATACAATTGTACCCTATATGCTTTCATACAGGGGATCTATGCAGTTGTAGATTCAGAAGCAGGCGACTTTACACTAACTTTCATATGGCATCTTATGTTGGATTTGGCTAGGACTTGATTGTTAGATGTATCTTACTTGGATGTTTGCAGAGAGATTGACATCCTCTACCTACTTCTACCTGTCATTACATAAATATCGTAAACTGCTGCCTCAGGCTTACAGCTAGAAACAAAATGGAAGTGGAGAAATCTCTGATGCTCCAAAATCACAACAGCTTAGGAAGTAAAAAGGAAACAAATTTGATCCCAGGCTGTGTGAACACTGCTTCAGACTGTTCCTCTGCTTCAGACTGTTCAAACTGTGTTAGCGTAGAGCCTCTCACCTGCTGCTTTTAAATCAAAGCAGAAACAAGTAATTTATATTCATGAGCGATTTCAGCTTAAATTTGTGAAATGCAGAGACTTGGGAGAGCATAAGAACTTCAGCAATTATTATATTGCCTTGTGTTTTGAACTTTCCCACTGAATCAGTAAATATTTACTAGGACATTGAGACTCATGCTGAGTGACTTAAGGAGATTAAAAATGTGTGGACCCCTGAGCACGGTGATACACATCGTCCATGCCAGCACTTAGGAGGCTGAGGATGGCTGTGAGTACCAGGCCAGCCTGGGTTACAGAATGAGAGTGACTCCACCTCAAAGTACCAGAAAATGAAATAATGTGTGTATGTTTGCTCCTAAGTCCAGAAGCAAACAACGTCAGTAATATAGAAATTATTAACCAATGACATTTTACAGGTTGTGATATTTATCTGAGCCTTCATCTTTAAACACAAGACAAGACAGTAAAATTTCAAAACCATAAGAACACTAAGATGAGGTAATGCAGTTCAGATTTCTCTAGTAAGCTCCTCAAAATCACTTCTGAGAGAAAATATACTTCCAATAATTTTTTTGGAAGAATGACTGAATGTGCTTCTTTTAAAGGAATGTGGTATTACATAGAACATATTCTGCTGTAACAACTTGGTGTGTAAAATTCAAAGTATTTCACATTACATGGGCTCTTAATTCTTTCAAAATAAAAAGAAACTACTTTTTTTATGGAGGAGGATTTTCAGCTGAAGGAAGTCAGATAGCTACTGTGTCTTTAAATTAGATGCAAGGCTCACCACACAAAGGCTGAGTCAGATGATCTGGCGACTGAACAGAAGAAGCAAATCTAGGAAACAGTGGCACTCAGAAGAGAAAGTAAAACACCAATTTTTCTGAATCCATCGGTAATGTGACAGAGGGGGACACCTGGTAAGGCCAAGAAGAAACTATGATTGCACTCAAAAGGTACCCTAACTTGGGGCTTCTTACAACTGCATTTTCTTCCAGCTCAAGTTATTCACCTCCCCCGCTCCCCACCCATTTCTGTGCTTCTACAGACACACAAAGGCCCGGTCTTTTGATGGTCAGCTTCATCATGTTATGGTAATATTTTACTATAGGCTTTTCATTTAAATAAATAATTTAAACCACTGAAACCCTTGTATTTTCCTTCCCTCCTTTTAAAATAAAAAACAGCATTTTAGGTTACTCAAAGTCTGGTTTAGATAATAAAGTAAAATGAAACCCTTATTCATATGTATATGGAGAGAGACTTATTCATCTTGTTTAAACAAAGTGAAGTATAACAGAATTTTGAGCAGATAATTTTATTATGGGTTTTCTATACAGAATTTTCAATCGGACACTGTACGCTTTAAAATAGCCCATTATGTCTTCCCCTCGTAACATAACCTCGGATTATACAAATCTGGTATCTCTTGAGATTCTTTCCCCTCTGCAAATGCTAAAAGGTATCTTTTTGTGAAATGATTCCTTCTTTGATTTTCAGTTATTCTCCTACTTGGAGTCCAAAATATGCTTAACTCTAAACTATAAACATCTTCCCCACATTTAAAAAACAGTTAAGCAAAAATCAGATTTTAAATAAGCAATGTTGGCCTATATATCCAAATCATACCCAGAATCCATCTCAGGTGTTATACTGAGGTCCATCAAAGACCTGCAGGACTAGAGTTCCAGGAGGGTGAGCCAGAGGAATCCACAGGAACAGCCGAGTCTGCTGCTGCTGTACTGTACCCGGTCCCCCACCTCCCACCTGCTGGTTTCTTGCATGCTTCCACGAAGAAAGCAAACACAAGGGAGAGAACTTTGTGCAGTTTTCTTAGTTTCAATTTACATAAGAGATTAGCTAACTTTATTCAGACAATTCTAAACGTCTACGAAGTAGCTCTTTCTTGAACCCAATTCCCCTTGGGGGTTGGGGAGTTTTCCAGTGGCAGAGCCTGTAGCTAGTGCACCCACAGCTCCATCTCAAATCTCCTGGTTTTTATTGGGTTCTGTAATCATTTGAGCTAGTTGCAAGAAGGTGATTTGGTGGCAAGGGATGGGAATCGACCATGTGTTGAAGAAGAATTAAAAAGCCCTCTGTGGTAAAATGTTTTACGTTTTCATAAGCAGAACCAATATACATTCCCTAATTGAAAAGTAAAGCTGTCTAAAAATGATTGTGATGCTTTGGAGATTCCAATCTTATAGCAAGATTAATA